ATGATGACGTGAGTGATGATGCTGAATGAGTGATTGAGGAGAGACGTAGTGGATGTGGTGTGTGAGTGAGTGAGTGAGTGAGTGAGTGATGAGTTGCAGTTGATAGAGTGAGTGAGTGTGTGTGTGTGTGTGGTGTGTGTGTGTGTGTGTGTGTGTGTGTGTGTGTGTGTGTGTGTGTGTGTGTGTGTGATAAAAAAATGACCATGATTTAATACAGCTGATATTTATTTTTACTAGGGTAGGACAAATTTAAACACTAAGGGAAAGTACAGGAGCTTAGTATCACTGAACAGTGTCCAATGCACAAAAAATATTGCATTAGGATGGAATAGAATGAGTAAGTCAGTATTGCACTGAATCTGCTCTGAATCACTGACTGAACCTTTTTTTTTAATGAAAGAAAAATTGTTAACTGGAAACAATTTGAACAGTTGTGTGCCTTCATGTGGTTAGGATTTCCTTGTAATAGATCCTTTATTGAAAGAAATAGCCTGTTCAAATCTAACACAGTTTCTACAGAAAGAAATTAACATCCATGTAAAAAAAAATAAATAAATAAAAAATAAAATAAGAAACAATTTTACGACTTCCATAGATCAAGAACCAATCTAGTTTTTTTACAACATGAAGTTGAGTCTTCTTTAGCATCATGAATCAAGGGTGAGACATGTATAAGTAATTTTACCACAGCAGAAGTTACAAGACAGAACTGTGCTAATGAAGAGTGGATACTAATTTCTCCAACATGAAGATTGTGTTCATCTATTTGAAATATTTATTAGGAAGGTAAATTTGAACTATGAAATTGATTACTTAAAATGTAAATTCAGAATCATGTATAAGAGTGTTGCCGAATCACTTTGTTTTTCTTGAATTTGTGTGTAGAAAATGATATCCATCAAAATGTGTCAGTTACAATTCTTGTGTTGTAAAGTTATTTATTCTCTTTTATACTTTTATTTTCTACATTTGCCACAATAAACTTTATTTATTTATGAATGAATGCAGGTGTGTGGTTGTCCTGTGTGTGTTTTTATGTTATTCTGGAAAAGTTTTCGTATAATAATTTAGATGCCTATACATTTAAAAGCATTGAGATATATTCTCAAGTATAAACAAATTATATGAAACTGGCTAATCAAAATGAATTTCAGGTGGGTTTTAGTGAACTGTATACAGAATGTGAACTGATGGAACCTATTGCATTGACAGTATATTGTAATTATACAGGTGACTTCATTGATCTTGAAGTTATGAATGTGCTAAAGCAAATATGACTGCATCAAAATTGCAGTTCAAAATTACTTTTTCTTTTTATGCAGTAAGATGATGTTTTTTAAAATAGTCTTTTTTTTTTACCCCATAACAAATAAGTATGATTTTTCTTAAACTTTCTTTTGATAAAACAGTATTTCCAAAAAAACACAGAATTACAAATCATTGTTAATGTCATCCAGTATGCTTGTTTTTGTATTTAGTACTTATTATTTGAAGCTTTTGGTATCAATTCATAGTACTATTTCTCTCATTATGTTTTTTTGCAGTGTTGAATCTTAGAACATACCCATGTTTAAAGCAGGGGCATATTAGTAGGAGACATTTTGGACTGTTACAGAAAGAAAAGATGTAAAAAGGTCTGACTTACAAAATAAAGTTTGACTCACCTGATATGCAAAATGCTATCAAGGATATCTAGATGTAATTTTCAAAGTCTTTTTTCCTCAGCTTTTCTCTTTAAAAGATATCAATGAATTATGAAATCATAGTAGAATATAATCATAATTTTTGGAACATTTCATATTTCTAAATACTTGAACATTCATTTATTCTAGTTAGTAAACTACTTTATTATTCCACATACCATCATTTGCTACCAAGACAAATGTAAGAGGTATAATCATGAGTGTCTATGCCCAAAAGAGACAATGACTACTGACAAAGAAGGATTAGTACATGCAGCAGAGCATTACTTTGATAAAAAAGGACTCTATACAGTGCAAGCATTTTAAGGTGGTGTATCTGTCATTGTAGGCTGGATCGTTGGTGTGGCAGCAGCAGTCAATCCGTCCACAGGGACAGGGTGTTGTGTGCCCTTTCTGCAGAAGAGAGTTCCTCCACAAGAACAACTTCCTGAAGCACTTCAAGACACACACAGGGGAGAAGCCTTTCTCTTGCCCTTTCTGCGATTTTCGTACCATTCAGAAGGGAAATCTCAAGACCCACATGCGCAATGTCCATAAGAGCTTATTGGCTTGAAAGAAAGGAAAAAAACTCAATTACCTTCAGGGAATTGAGTTTGGCGCTGAAATCAAGGTACTGAAGGCAAGAAATGTTTTTCTAAGATATAGACCATATGAGAGTGAAATAATTGAAGAACTGAAGAGATGGTGCTTTTTAAGAAGAAAATCACTCTTATTAAGTGGGTTACAGACAAAAAATGAATCAGATAGAAGGCCAAAATAATTATGATAATGACAGTAGCAGTATTGTCTGAAAGGACACTAACTGAATCTGAAAAGAATGTTTTAAGTTGCTGTATTGTTATTCTGGTATAATGATAGTCTGTTGATCTGGTTATCCAGTAAAAGTTTGTAGGGTGTAAGGTTAAGAAATAAACTACTGTAGTTTAGTGTTAATATGAAACCCTATTGCATTTTCCCCCCTGGTTTTGTTGTTTTTTTTGTAATCCAGTGTCATTTTTTTTTTTCTCTCTCTCTCTCTCTCTTTTTTTTTTTATATAATCATACGGATTACACCATAATCCAGACAAATGTTACGTGTGGAAGTGCTGTAAGAGAAACTGGTTGCTAAAATCCTCAGACACTAACCTTCCATGCACTTCCTTCTAGGACGATGGTGGAGTGGTCGTGCAGAGAGGGTTGTGGTTCCGCTTTACTTGTAACTTCTGTCACAAGAATTTCAACCACAAGAACAACTTCAGGAAGCACTTGCGAACCCATACTGGGGAGAAGCCATACATGTGTCCACAGTGCTCCTATTGCTCTGCTCGCTCAGATCTCTTGCGTGCCCACTTACACAAGAAGCATCCTTACGTATCAACTTCAACCCAAGTTTAGGAAATATGATTTTCTAAATTATGGGGTCTGACGTGTTCTACAAATATATTATATGGTCTGTGTGTGGGTGAATTAGTCTTCTTCTTTTTTTCTTTTTTTTCTTTCTAATGTTATTTTCTTGTTTATATATATATATAATTTTTTTTTTTTTTCTAAAAACGTACAAAATATTGTAAAATTTTGTTCAGTACTAGTGAGAAACGTAGAACAAAAAGCCCAATTTATGAAGCAGTTAACAGAGTTAGAACAGTACTCATACCTGTCCCTTCAAGATAACAATTAAACATGATAAATGATGATTTAATACAAGCAGCCATACTCTGATTTTCATTTATATAGTATGCACTTGTTACATTCATTTTTCTTCTTCATATCTGTAAAATGTTAAACACTATATTCACACTCATATAGCAGATATGCATATCTGTTCTATGAAGATAGTATGATATTAATGTTTCAATATAGCTTTAAATTTTATTTTTAAAAGTTCAGATTTTTTTTTTTTTTTTTTTTTCGAAGAAGGGTTACTTTTCACCAGCAAGCAGTGTAAAAATTTGTTCACAATTTTTTTTCAAGCTTCCCATTCATAAGAACCTTGTAACCTCAAAAAAAACCTGATTTGTGTGGCCATGGAGTGAAATAATCGAAATTTACAGCACTGGTGTACTTTATCTTGTGTATGTTGAGTTGACCACTTTGTTCTTATTTTTTTTTATCTTTTTGGTTATTTATAATTGAATGTGTACATGTTTGTTGTATGTGTATGTATACATGCATGTGCACATATGTTGTATGCATGAGTGCATGTACATGTACATGTGTGTGTTTGTGTGTACAGGTGTGTGTTTGTGTATGCATGTTTATATTGTGTGTGTGTGTGTGTTCTGTGTATATGTATGCATATGTGTTTTTGGTTGTTTGTTTGCTTGCCTGTTCTGGATGCATGTTATGTGTGCATGCATTGTTTGTCTGTGTATGTGAATGTATGTGCATGTATACATGCAAGTATGGTGTCTGTGTATCTGTGTCTATGTCTGTATGTCTGTGTGGTAGTATTTGTATGTGCACATGCATATGTGTTTGTATTTATACAAGCGTGTGTGGATTTGTATGGTTATTTTCTATGTATGTAGGTACCTGTCTGTTTATCTATCTATCTATACAAATATGTATATATATCGATAGATCTATATATGTATCTTTCTTTATGAAAATAATTTTATTGTGATTTGTGGTGCATGTCTAAGATAAAAGCAGCAGGAGCATCACCACAGAGGGGGCATAAGGGGGCCACTTCCCCATATTTTAGCGGTTCCCTTCATAATTTAACCTGTCAGGGGCACAGCCAGAAGCTAGGGAGTCAGTGTGCCACCAGTATTCTAAAGTAACCCTCCTAGCTCTCACTAAATTTATATTGGTGATGCTTCTGAAAATCTATAAAAACAATGTGATTGTAAGTAATATGAACATATGTTTTTTTAAGTACAAGAATACATTTGTAATGTGAATAGATAGCTGGATTAAAGATTCTGTGACATTAGTTCCATTATCACTTGATCCAAAGAAAAAATGTAATTTTATTGGTCTCTTAGGTAAATATGTGCTGCTATGTAAGCTGGGACTTGACTTTCCTGTAGTGTTGCATACTCATTTTTGTAAGTGCTGTGATGGAAAGAAATTTATTAAAATATTATATGCAGACTGTTTTAACATGTATTTTACTTTCCTGTATGTCTTGTTGTTCAGAAAATTATTTCTTTGAAAAAGAGAATGGAGTGTAAATTAAATAGATGTGTGTATGGTTCACTTCGGCTGAAAATCAGAAACATGGAGGTTAGACAGCATTGTGTGGTAATGACATCATTGATTTTTTGTGATAGTCAACAGAAGTTATGAAAAACTATAAGTCGCCATCAGGTATAA